AGCAGGGTGCACCTCTCCAGGGAGAGAGTGGGCATCCCATTCCAACATGGGGTGGGTGGGTTGTGGGCTGAGGGTGACACTCACTCATTGCTGGGCTCTCCCTTGAATTAATTTTGTTTCTCTGTGTACTGAATGGGATAATTGCGTGATGTGACATTCAATAAAAGATAAACAAAGTGCCTGCATGCTGCTATTGAATTCCAAAATGTGAATAAAATCTACTTTTGTACAAACAAGCAGCTGGTCAGAGAAGAACTGTAGTAAATTGCCCAAGAGAGCAGAGAAAGGAAACAAAGTTGGACGGGTTGCGCTGATCCTGAAAACTATTTCCTCCTCAGAACTAACTAGCCCCAGGCTATTTGGTAAGTGGAATTTTCCATCCCTGATTTGCGTAGAAAAAAAAACTAACATCTCTAGGGAAATGCGCTGTTTTCTTCTTGCGTGTCACAAAGTAATCCCCAAAGAACTACCAGACAAACCAAAATTTAGACTCAGATGGGTGGAAACTTCACCTCGAATCATAGACTCTTTGTCAGCACAGAAGGATGACCTTCATCCCATTGTGTGCCTATGCCAACTCGTTGAAAGAGCTTTCCAAATAGTCCCACTCCCCCGCTCGTACCCCATAGCCCTGCAATTTTTATTTCTTTTCAAGTATATATCCAATTTTCTTTTGAACGCTGTTATCAAATCTGCTACCACCAGCCTTTCAGGCCATGCATTTCCAGATCGTAACAAGTCGCTTAAAAAAATCTCTCCCCGTCTCCCATCCGGTTCTCTTGCCAAGGGACCTGGGTCTAGATTTAATCTCTTAACGATATATATTTTTAGAGCGTCCAGAATTTGTGAAAATCTTGTCAAAATACAGTCTTTTAACACCAAAGCCATTTTTCTCTCAGTTTTGTTTTTGGAAGCACAAAAGAGAAAAGGGCTTCGGAGTTCAAAGTGAGTTCAACAATGTGCCAAGTCCACCCATCCAGTCCTCTTGCTGCTCATGTCCTCTCCCACACCAGCTCCACCAGACTATGTGGAGTCCTGTAGCTCAGTGGTTAGAGCGCTCGCCTCGCAAGCGAGAGGACCTGGGTTTGATTCCCGGGAAGGGCGAAATGTAAGGCAAGTTTCCTTACTCCACACACACGCAGTAAGTAGGAACCCGGTGGTGAGTCGATTGGTGGATCGCTTTTCTGGAGGTGGTAATTCCATCAAAAATAATAATAAATTATTCACTTCAATCCACAACTTTGTCGGACACTGCCTTGTGCAATTGGCTGCCCCGTTTTGCCCGCAAAAATACAGTCACTCCACTTCACAGTATATTCTGTGAAGCGCTTTGAGACGTCTCGACGATGTGACAGGCGCTATATCAAACGCAAGGAGTATTAAAATTGCTATTAACAAAGGAGCGTATTGTGTTTTTTTTGTGTGTGTGACCAGGTGAAAATCTGCCCCAATCAAACGGCCAAACAAAGGTGGGTTCCAGTCGGGCTGGTTTGGAGTTCCAGCCCTAAGTGATCATTAATCACCAGTATAAGGCTGGGGACTGGTGAGAAGTAATAGAGTCTGGAGAAGACGGATATATAAAGGTAGAGCTGCCTTGTCAAAGTAAACTTTTCTCTCTCATTTTTGTTTGAATCGTTGCGTTGAAGTTTGGTTTACTGGGTGTCACCCACGTCCTCCTAAGGCACCCCAGTCCCCACGTGGGTCAACCTTCCAGATCCTTGTTCTCACGTTCTAATCCCTCCATCGTCTCGCCCCACTGTATCCCTGGGATCTCTTGCAATCTTGTAACCTAACTACCCCTCCAGCTCAATTAACACTGGCTAACTCCCCCTGACCCCCACCTCCCCGACTTTCAAAGTTCTCCTAAGGCCACCCTTTTGGTCATCAACCACGTAATGAGGCGTTATCTCAAATGCAGGTATTATTGTTATTATTCAGGCAAAAGTCCTGACTCCACAAGTCTCTGTTTGCCAAGGGCGCAGTAGGAACTCTTAGAATTGTTTGTGATCGACAAGAGGGTAATAATCTCTTCGGAAAGAAATGGGGCCCACCCATCACCACTCAGGCTCGGTTTCTTAATTAAGAAACCTTCTAAGAAATGGTGTACAATTACCTCCATCTCCGACCCACCCTTCCTCCCCATCTCATAAAAAAAATGTGGTCATTCAACCCCTGACTTTGTTTGCAGGATACTGCTGTGCGCAATTGGTTGCCATGTTTCACCAAACAAATACAACTTTACAAATGTGCTGTGTGAAGCTCTTCGAGTAGCCTTTGAGACGTGGTAAGTCGCTGTATCGAACGCGAGGATCATTATTACCAATTGCTTCTTGGCCTAAATTTTTTAATCCTCGTTTCGAACCTTAGACCGGGGAAATCACAAGAATTTCTTTCACCAAAACAGTTTCTGAGGTTCGTCAGGGTTCAAATAAAAAATTACATTTGGGACGCTTCCCGTGTGATTTGGCATCCAGGACACAGCAATGCTGACGAGTTTGGAAAGATGTTTAACTGTGCCCAACTTGTTTATGAAACAAAGATAAAATTGCAGTCAAAGGTTGCGCCGTTGCACATGGGGTTTTACGATTTTCTGAAATGTGAAGGGCATTACTTCGGGTTACGGATCACTGCGTTTCACACTAACTTTGATAAGAGTGTTTAATCTGTTCTTTTTATGGCGGGGGAGAGGTACATTCATCCTTTTCAAGGCAAATATGAGTTAAATCAGTAACCGAAGCTGGTGTTATTCTAGCGTGGCGCTGTGGGACCACTCTTGCCTCTGAGTTGGCAGGTTGTGGGTTCAAGCCCCACTCTTCGAGACGTCTCAAAGGTGAATCGACTGCGTATTTTGTGGGCGAAACGCGGCAGCCAATTGCGCCCAGCAGCGTCCCCACACACAGTCGTGGATTGAGTGACCAAATTTAAAAATATATATATTTCGAAGGGGTTATTAGCCCTGGAAAAAGGATCTGCCAATCAACTAACAGCCAGGTTCCTATTTAGTGCTGGGCAAGCAGAGGCGTGTGGAGTAAGGAAACCTGCCTAAGGTTTTGGCTTGACCTGCCCGGGAATCGAACCTGGGACCTCTCGCTTGCGAAGCGAGCGCTCTAAACGTGGGATTAAACCTCTCACTGCGTGCGGTTGGAATCTTTGAACACACAAACCCTGAGCACATGAGCTCAGCGTTACGGCTCACATCAAAAGCTCCGAGCTTTTACACCCTGTCAGGGCCAGAAATAAGTTGTCAAACCACACTGCACATTGTTCCCCATCAACTCCTGCTATCCTGTGACAGTGTGAAACCTCAGTCACAGCTCCTCACACTCTGCTTAACACCCCAGTTTCCCCTAGACTAGCAGCTCAGCTCTCTAATACTGCCCACATTTACATACCCACACACACCAGGTTGCAGCCCATCTTCGAGACATCTCAAAGCTCTTCAAAGAATATCATAGAATCATACAGCACAGAAAGAGGCCATCGGCCCATCGCGTCTGCACGGGCTCCAAAAAAAAAGAGCTTCCAACTCAATCCCACCGGCCCACTTCCTCTCCATAGCCCTGCAATCCCGTCCTCCCCAAATACCCATCTACTTCTCTCTTAAAAGTTGTTATTGAATCGGCTTCCACTACCCTTTCAGGTAATGCAGTCCAGATCCCAACACCTCGCTGGGTGAAAACATCTTTCCTAACCTCCCCTCTGTTTCATTTAACAACTATCTTATAATCGGTGTCCTCGGGTTACTGACCCACATGCCAGAGGAAACAGTTTCCTATCAAATCCTCTCACGATCTTGAAAACCTCTATTAAATCCCCTCTTAATCTTCTCTGCTCTCGGGAGAATAATCCTAGTTTTGCTAACCTCTCCTCATAACTAAAGTCCTTCATTCCTGGTACCATCCTGGTAAACCTCCTTTGCACCCTCTCCAATGCTCTAACATCTTTCCTAAAGTGTGATGCCCAGAACTGAACGCAGTCTCCAACTGTGGCCTAACCAGCGTTTTATAAATATTCAACATAACCTCCTGGCTTTTGAATTCTATGCCCCTATTTATAAAGCCTAGTAACCCGTATGCTTTTTTAACAGCTTTATCTGCCTGTCCTGCCACCTTCAGAGATTTGCTTATGTGGACCCCCAGGTCTCTCTGTTCATTTGCCCCCTTTAAGATTGTACGCTCCAGCTTATACCGCCTCTCCTCATTCTTCCTACCAAAATGCAACACTTTGCTTTTCTCCACATTAAATCTCATCTGCCACGTTTCCACCCATTTTACCCATCTGTCTAAATCCTCTTGGGAGTCTGGTGCGATCCTCCTCACCAATTACTACTTTCCCTAGCTTAGTATCGTCTGCAAATTTGGAAATTGTGCTCCCAGTATCCAGGTCCAGATCATCAATATAGATCAGAAAGAGTAGTATATTACTATAAAGTATAGTGACTATATTTTGTGGGAGAAATGCGGCAGCCAATTGCAAACAGCCGTGGATTGAGTACCAAATTCTTCTTTTTATTTGGTTTTTTTTAGGGATTATTACCCTTTAGAAACGTGATCCAGCAATTGACTGACAACTAACTACTCATTGCTGGGCAAGCAGAGGCTTGTTGGTAGAGCAAGGAAACTTGCCTAAGGTGTCGCCCTTATCAGTGAAGCGCACAGACACACATACACCATCTCTCTCATACACACACACACACACACACACACAGCAGAATGAACCCCTCAAACACACACACTGCGCTGGGAGTGAAGTGTGAAGGAATTAGACGCAGACGCATGTTCAAAGCTGAATAAATGGTTGACACTTTATTATCGACCAGTCACCTGCAGAATACAACAAATCGCATGAATAATAATCCCACGGCAGTTTGTGGGGGACGCTGCCGGGCGCAAATTGGCTGCCCCGTTTCGCCCACAAAATACGCAGTCACTTCACTTACTGCATATTCTGTAAAGGGCTTTTGAACGTCTCGAAGACGTGATCAGGCGCTATATCGAGTGCAAGGATTATTATTATTATTATGTGACGCTTGCGTAATAATAATAATCAAGTATAGAGTCAGAGTGAAGCTCCCTCTAAACTGTCCATCCACACCCCCCGGGTCAGGGTTAGAGACGGACTGAAGCTGCGGAAAGCTGGAGGGAAGAGCGACGCAGGAGATTACGACTGGGGAACCGAGCTGGAGGGCAGTTTAGAAAACTCTGGCCTCTTTCCCTGCCCTGCCCGGGATCCTCACCCGAAGAGCGGAAGAGAAGCGGACGCAGAAGTCCGGAGCATAGCAGACCTGGCACCGGCCGGCCACCTCATCCTGCAGCTCGCATCTCCTCACATGGAAGTGCTCCCGGGAGACCCTCTCCAGCTCCGCCTTGGCCTCCTCGGGCTCCAGCTTGGCGTGACGCACCGAGCCGTAGGCCATGTACCGGCCCACGTGCTCCCCGGCCCAGGCCGTGACGAAGGGCGCGTGGCGGAGGCCGGGGGCCACCCCGCACGAGGTGTCGCCGTGCTCGCATGCCGGGGCGCTGGGCAGACGCCGGGAGAACAGCAGGACGCAGCCCAACTCGAACCCCCGAGCTCGGAGAAGCTCCTCCAGCCTCATGGCCACGCTGGCCCGGCCCTTGCCCTCCCCCTGGGGTGGGTATAGCAGCTTGCTCTCTGCGCTCTGCATAGCCCCCGTAGGGTACACAGCCACGTAGTTGGCCTCGGGGTCCGCCAGGAAGATCTCGGCCTTTTCGGAGATGATGGGGTCGGACTCTCTCCCCTTCTCGGCCGGCTTGTTGGGTATGAACTCCAGGGGACGCTCCCCCAGGCACTGGGGCGCAGAGAGGACCATTAATACAGCAAAGTTCCCTTCCTGAGTCACCTTGTTGGCTTTCGCTTCCTTCTCAAACCTATTGGGACAGACAGAGGGAGAGAGAGGGGGGGGGGGTGGCGGGTCAACAGAGAAACATTCATCACGTCTCATCCCTCGCAACCAACCACCTTGTGTCTCCACTGCCTCGAGATGGTTTTTGGAGATACTTACTCAAACCCCAATCCCCTGTGCTCTCTCTTTCTCTCTCTCTCTCTTTCTCCATCGTGTCCATGCTAGAGGTCACTCCCCCCACACCGGATCTCTCGACTCTAACCTCATTCTCCTGGTCTCTCTCTCTCTCTCTCTCCGCATCGTGTCCGCACTAGCGCTCACGGCCCACCACCACCACCACAAAGGAGCTTACCTGGCGATGACATGCGCGAGGACCGATTCTGATAGAACAGCCGAGTGAACGGTCACCGGGAGGATCAGAAACAAAACTGGGAGAAGGTCCATTTTCGGAGACGTTTTCCACATGGAAACCCCCCCCACACCCCACCTCCACACTCCCACTGCCCCTGAGGAGACAAGAGAAATCAGAAAACCCTATTAACAGGGGCGAGGCGTGCGTGCGCGAGACGCTGCGTAGCTCGGAGTCGGGCGTGCGATGGGAGCGGCGACGGCTCTCATTGAACGTCCGAGAGGGTTCGACGGCTGCGGGTTTCGAAAGCCGAGACACGCAGACAGACGCACGCACCTCCGCACCCTGTGCTGTGAGCTCCACACCGCGCTCAATTTATAATGATTCTAACGCCCCCTCCTGTTACACTCACGTCACTCAGGAAATCCTGAGCTTGACAGACAGCCCCCAACCCCCACCCTCTTGTCTCAGCTCAGTCCCTCTCAGTTTCTCCCCCATCTGCCCTTCTCGAAACCCCCTCATAATTTTGAAACACCTCGATTAAATCTCCCCTCAACCTTCTCTGCTCCAAGGAGAATAATCTCAGTCTCCCCGTATAACCGTGGTCCTCATCCCTGGTATCGTTCTGGTGATTCTCCTCCGCAACCTCTCCAAGGCCTTGATATCCTTCCCGAATGTGGGGCCCAGAATTGGACACAGTATTCCAGCTGATGCCTGATCAGCAAAGGTTGTGGGTTCGAGCCCCCATTGGGGGGAGGGAGGGAGGGAGGGTTGGGAATTGAGCTCACAGTCCAGGCTAACTTTCCAGCACAGCGCTGGTGGGAGGGAGCAATGCGTTGTCAGGGATATTGAACCTCTCTCCCCGAACCGGGGAGATTTTAAAGATTTTCCAGGACACTGTCGGGAAAAGAGAAAGGAGTTTCTCTCTTACTCTATCGCTCTCTCTCGCTCTCTCTCTCTCTCTCTCCCACTGTCCCTGTCGATCGATAAAACTACTTGCTTGAGGGGATGTCGCTGTCCGCAAACGACGGTTGCCGCGTTAAACACACAGTCACTACACTTTCCAGCGAGTCCTGGGAAGTACTTTGAGACGTCCTGTCTGAGTGAAAGGTGCTGGGTCAGAGGTAGGGATTATGGTGTGTGTGTGTGTGTGTGAGAATGAGAGAGACTACATGTGTGTCAGCGTGTCTGGGAGCCCTGGGCTGCAGCCTGGCGTGGATGAGTGTGTAAATGTCGGCAGTATTAGAGAGCTGAGCTGCTAAATTGGGAAAAGTTGGGGTGTTAAGGAGGGTGTGAGGGGCTGTGACTGAAGTTTCACACTGTCACAGGACGGGGCGAGTGAATCGGGGGGAAAAGCTCATGTGGTTTGACAGCTCAGACACACAGACACACAGACCCTGAGAGCTGCGATGGGGGGGATGGACAGTCGGGCAGGTGTTTTGGAGGCTGAAGAGGCGTCTTCATCCAGACCGATGGGGTGAATTTATGACCTTGTGAGAGAGCTTTGGTTGTGAGAGTGACTTTGAGCCCTCACACTCTCAGGATCCATGTGTCCAATCTGTCAAACCACACCGAGCTTTACTTCTGATGTGTGAAACCTCAGTCACAGCCCCTCACAGCCTGTTTTACACCCCAGCTTCCCCCCCCCACACACACAAATTAGCAGCACAGGTCTCGCTGATACTGCCTACTCATACACCCACACACGCCAAGCTGCAGCCCGTCTTCGAGACGTCTTAAAGCGCTTCACAGGATATACTGCAAAGTGTAGTGACCGTACACAGTATTTTGGGGGCCAAAGCCAGCAGCAAATTGCGCAAAGAAGTGTCCCACAAACAGTGGTGGATTGAGTGACCAAATTGAGTGACACAAACTATAATCCCTACATCTGACCCAACGCCTTTCACCCTGAGGGGATATCTCAAAGTGCTTTGCAGGACTTTACAGTGGTTTACTGTTGAGCGTAGTTCCAAAGGCCGGAGGCAAAGGGTGACTGAAGGCTCGGTTGATCGAAGAGGAGGGTCTTGAGACAGGCCTCGAAGGAGGCAAAGGAGGGGGGGTGGCGAGGCGGAGGGACTGTGGGATGGAGTTCCAAAGAGTGGGGGCAGAGAGTCTGATGGTGGGGCGGGCAGGGTGCAGGTCATATCATATTTGTGGAGTCCTGTGGCTCAGTGGTTAGAGCACTCGCTTTGCAAGTGAGAGACCTGAGTTCAATTCCAGGCAGAGGGCGAAACCTTGGGCAAGTTTCCTTACCCCACACAGAGCCTAATAATAATCCCTCCAAAACCAAAAACAATAATAAATTGGTCATTTTCAATCTACGACTGTTTGTGGGACATTGCTGTGCGCAATTGGCTGCCGCGTTCGCCCACAAATATACAGTCAACTCACTTTACAGTATATTCTGTGAAGCGCTTTGGGACGTCCTCCCGACGTGAAAAGCGCTATATCAAATGCAAGGATTATTATTATTATTATTAAATAATAATAATAATAATAATAATAATAATAATCCTCGCATTTGATGTAGCGCTTTCACGTCTTCTCGACGTCATGAAGTGTACATTTCGAGAAGCAGGAAATACTTTGTGCGTCTGGTTCCGTTTTCAATTGGACTAAATAATTAGGCAGTGCTATCGCTCCTTCCTCGTGTCTGCTTGATCACGCGCGAGAGCCCTGCCTCGTATCGAAGGACGTCCCAAGGCGCTGGACAGAGTTACGGACCCCGAGCTGAGGGTCGGGGAGGGCAGAGGGGGAAGCCGGGCGATCAAAAGCACGGTCGCAGAGGAGGGACTTGAAGTGGGTCTTGAAGGAGGCGAGGGAGGGGGCGAGACGGAGGGACTGCGGGATGGAGTTCCAGAAGGTGGGGAGGGGCAGAGTAGCGGAAGGCTCACATCCCCCGATAGTGGGGCGAGCGAGGCGGGCCGGAGCCCGCTGAGCGGAGGGAGCGAACAGAATGGTAAGGAGTTAGGAGTTCGGAGAGGTCTGGGGGTGGAGCCAGAAACACACCATTGATTGATCTGCGCGCACTCTCCTGAGGGTTGTTTGTAGGTGGTATGAGACAGTCAGCTGTTTCCTCTATTTATATCCACTGGCAAGTCACTGTTGCTAAAGTTCTGCAAATCCGCAATTAGTAACACGACATGCAATACAACCAGAGGAGCGCGGAGTAAAGAAACTTGCGTAAGGTTTTGCCCCCACCCCGGGAATCGAACACGAGTCTACAGGACCACTAACCCTACAGGACTCCCGACAAAGGAAATGCAAATTTCCTTACTCCACACGCCTCAGTTTTCCCAGCAGTAAGCAGGGTCGCTTTTCCGGGGGTAATAAACCCTTCCAAAAAAAAAACCCGATCATAATTCGGTGACTCAATCCACGACTGTTTGCGGGGACGTCGCTGGGCGCGATTGGCTGGCGCCGCGTTTCGTCCACGAAACACACGGTCACTACACGCTGCAGTATATTCCGTGAAGCGCTTTGAGACGTGGCCACGACGTGATCGGGCGTTGTGTCAAAACACAAGGATTATTAGTGGTCAGGGATGGCGGAAAGAGGAATTGAGATGACTTGTTGATGCGAAAGTCTTATCACCTTAAGCGGTAACGGCAGTAAACACTCTCCACCCCCTGTACACACCGCCCCACCCCCCCCCCCCCCACACACACACACACCCCACACCCCCCACATACACACACCCCCCACACCCCCCCACACACACACACCCCACACACACCACACACCCCCACACACACATCCCCACTCACAACCCCCCCCACATACACACACCCCCCACACACTCCCACCCCCCCACACACACCCCACACACCCACATACACAACACCCCCCACCCCACACACACACACACACACCCACATCCCCACTCACCCCCCCCCACACACACACCCCACACACACACACACACACACATCCCCACTCACCCCCCCACACACACACCCACCCCACACCCCCACACACCTCCCCCACACACACACACACCCCCGCCCACCCACCCCCACACACAAGCTCGAGTTATTCAACAGTGGAAACAGCAGAGGGAGGGGCGGGAGGGGGAGAGACACGTGTTGGGAGGTTTACAAGTTATGTAAATACATAAAGAAAAAGAAAAAAAAGAGGGAGGAGGGAGGGAGGGAGAGAGAGAGAGAGAGAGAGAAAGAGCGAGTTATAATGCGAGTTGGAGATCCCGGGGGAAGGGAGGGGTCGGTTGAGGGAGTGGGAATGAATGAATGAAACGAATGAATAAAAGGAGAAGAAGAAGAAGAAGAAGAGTGTGTTGTGTGGAGGAGAGAGAGAGAGAGAGAGGTGGAGGGAGTGTGTAGTGTGTGACGGGGACACATTGTCGCGGAGGAGCGGTAAAGGGACACATTGTATCGCGTAAAAGGGACACATTGTCGCGGGAAGTGCGGGGGATACAGTGACCGCCTCTCACTGCTCTCAGCCCGGACTGACCCCCAGCTTCACCCCCCCCCCCAGCTTCACCCCCCCCCACCACCCCCCCCCCACCAACCCCCCCCCCCAGCTTCACCCCCCCCCCACCGACCTTCCCCCCCACCAACCCCCCCAGCTTCACCCCCCCCACCCCCAGCTTCACCCCCCCCCCCACCCCCAGCTTCACCCCCCCCACCAACCCTCCCCCCCACCCCCAGCTTCACCCCCCCCACCAACCCTCCCCCCACCCCCAGCTTCACCCCCCCCACCGACCCTCCCCCCACCACCGACCCTCCCCCCCACCAATCCCCCCCACCCCCAGCTTCACCCCACCCCCAGCTTCACCCCCCCCACCCCCAGCTTCACCCCCCCCACCAACCCCCCCCACCCCCAGCTTCACCCCCACCAACCCAACCCCCCACCCCCAGCCTCACCAACCCCCCCCCCCACCCCAGCCTCATGGACCTTTGCGCCCGGGACACTGGGGATATCCCGGAGAAGGAGAAAATGGCCCTGAAGGAGGAGGAGGAAGAAGAGCAGCAGCAGCTCGGAGGCAAAGGCGGCTGTTCCCCCCACCCCGGCCCCGCAGCCCCCGGGGGCAGAGGGAGGTGGAACCGGCGGCTGGAGTTCACGTTGGCCTGTGTGGGGTACGCGGTGGGGCTCGGCAACGTGTGGAGGTTCCCGTACCTGTGCTACAGGAGCGGGGGAGGTGAGTGACCCGAGCTCTGGGGGGAGACAGACAGGGAGACAGACAGGGGGAGACACACAGACAGGGAGACAGACAGGGAGAGACACACAGACAGGGAGACAGACAGGGAGAGACACACAGACAGGGAGACAGAGAGACACAGACAGGGAGACAGAGAGAGACAGACAGGGAGACAGACAGGGAGAC